TGGGATTAAAGATGTGTGCCGCCACTACCACGCAGGTCTTTTTTTTTTTTTTTTAATGTGTATTGTTGTCTGCATGTATGTCTGTGTATAAAGGTATTGGAGCCCCTGGAGCTAGTTACACAGACAGGTTGTGAGCTGCCATATGGGTGCTGGGAATTGAACCTAGGTCCTCTGGAAAAACAGCCATTACTCTTAACCTTTGGGCCATCTCTCCAGTCCCCCCCCCCCCTTTTTTTTTTTGGCTTTCCAGACAGGGTTTCTCTGTGTAGCCCTATCTGTTCTGGAACTCGCTCTGTAGACCATGCTGACCTCGAACTTAGATTGCTTGCCTCTGCCTGCTGAGTGCTAGGATTAAAGGCGTGCACCACACCTGCTTGAGAGAGGGTCTTTAATCTACAGTACACTCACCATTTCCAGAAGAGAAGTGGACCATTGATCAGGACATCTGCCCGTTCCTTCCAGTCCTCCTGCCCATATGTGCTCTGTAACCAACCTTGCCTGTGCGTGCGCCCAGACTCACTTCTTCATCCTGTGGCACTGCATTTTCTCTTTTGCTTCTGCTGGTCATTATCTGTTTCATATGAAATTCTTACCTGGTGGGCAGAGTTCCAGTTGTCAGTAGGTGAGTCTGGATGACAATAGAATATGCTGGTATTTGCTTCAAAAATGGTTTAGTTTCGTGGATAGCACTTAAAAATGATGAATGTGAATGACTCATTTATGGTCTTAGCTCTCTGCCTGTCTCTCCCAGGAAGGGCAAGAGCATCCTTTAGCCTTTGAAAAAGACAGTTCAGAGTCACACACATTCAGAAACATAGTGACAGTGCACCTTTCACAGACTTATTACCTCCATTGACTTATTTTTGTTTGAGAAAGGGTCTCACTGTATAACCCAAGCTGGCTTCAAGTTCAAGTTCCTTCTACCTCAGCATATTGAGTACTGGTGTTATAGGCATGAGCCACCATACCCAGCCCTTAAGTATTTTTTAAAAGTACCTGTGACTTAGACTGCCAAGAGGGTGAACTCAAAGCTTGTGGTCAGTGATAGAACTTGTGCCTTACCAACCCCAGCAAGAGGATGGTCCTCTTCACCCCTTGACCTGTGTTGTGGATTTTATATTTCCTTCTTCTTAGCATGAGACTATCACTGTAGTAGTGCATTGGCTCTGTGCCAGGTGCCCCTGGAACATGAAGGGATGTGGTGGGCCCTGCCCCTGCCCCAGCTCCTCCTGCCCAATCACCTTTGCTCAGTGTCTGGTCTGGATTGCTGAACACTAAGGCAATCTGTCTCCAAATAGGCTATCTGTCTCCACCCAAAGCTCTGTCGTTTCATCCACAGTGCTAATAGCTGTAAGCCCAAGGGTCTCCATACCCTGAGCCTCGCTTGGCTCAAATTCCCACTCATGCCTGCAACAGTCAGCATGCCTTCCCACTTCTCTCGAAGGGCTTGTCTTGATGCTTGGCCTTTTGGTCAGGAACCTGTCTTCCCTTTCCTGCTCTGCTTTACATTTTTTTCTCTTGAATTTCCTCTATTTCACTAGCCAGCAGCCAGGTCTGATCCACAGTGCTCACTAGCTTCTTACTAACTGCCTTCTCCTGGTGCTTGCTGCCGGGTACAGAGGTCACTTGCCCCCCTCCCCTGCCCTTCTTTGTACTATTGTGTTCGCTTGAGGCAAAACTTAAGAACTAATGCTCAATCTCCTTGGGCACCTTCATGATCCTGTCCTTATTTTTGTACCTCATTTCTCATCGCTTTGCTGTGTTGTGTACTATTGCTTTGCCAACACTTATGCCTTCTGCCTGCTCTTGTACCCCATCTACCTGGGACTAAAATTCTACCTATTCTTTAAAGCAGCTTGGAGACTTCCTGTCGGTCTCAAGCTTCAGAATTTACTCAACCAAAGACCTAGACTATGCTACTTTCTGTCCAGGCATAGATAGCTTTTGCTGGCCTGTTTATTGCAGGGTGTCATGTCCTGAGTGCCCTCCCAATATTATTTTACTTGTGGTTCATTATGATTTTACAAATCTATATGCTGTATACATAGTAAAACAGTTACTATCAAGGGAATTCATAGTCACATTAGCACTCTGGACTTATTCCTATGTAACCTTAACTTTGTACCCTTTGCCTTTGCCCTTATCCCTTATCACCATTATTCGGTTTCTTTGTATTCAACAGTTTGTTTCTTCTGTGTTGGCTTATTTTACTTAGCATTGATGTCCTTTGGTCCATGTTGTCATAAATGGCAGGATCGTCTTTGCTAATGTTAGTGTTCCTTACATATCCCACAGTTTCTTTATTATTCAGTATCTTGGTTATCATGAAAAATAACTGCGGTTGGCCGGAAGGTGTTGGCACACTCCTTTAATCCCAGCACTTGTGAGGCAGAGACAGGTGGATCTCTGTAAGTTTGAGGCCAGCCTGGTCTACAGAGCGAGTTCCAGGACAGCAAGGACTGTTGCTGTTAGACAGAAAAACCCTGTCTTGGGCTGGGGTTTTGGGGAGATAACTGCAGTGAGCATGGGAGTGTTTGTCCCTCTAAACAGTGGTCTTAACCTTCCTAATGCTACGACCCTTTAATACAATTGCTCATGTCATGGTGACCCCATCCATAAAATTATTTTGTTGCTACTTTGTAACAGTAATTTTGCTACTGTTATGAATGGTAATGTAAACACCTGAGATGCACAGGTTGAGAACCTCCTAAAAGGTACTGATTCATTTATTTTTAGTATATATTCAGAAGGGTTGCTAGGTCATGTGGTAGTTTTGTTTCTCCCTCTATTTTTAGATTTTTGAGGGACTGCTATTTTTCATAACTACTGATTCACTCCCTTGCATATTGTATGAGTGTTCCATTTTCTCTGTAGCCTCACCACAGTTGTTACCTCATATGTCTAGTAGTAACGAAACCGGAAAGATGTGAGATAGCAGTCATAGTCTTGTTTTGATGCATAGTGACTGCTGGACTGCTGTGTATCTTTTCATAAAACTGTTGACATTTTTCTCTTTGGCGAAATGTCTGTTCAGGTCCTCTGCCTAATTTTTATTTTTTAATCATTCTTTTCTGTTGTGTGTGCTCCATATCTTTTACATTAAATCCTTTTCAGCTACATGATTGGCAGACATTTCCTCCTAGCCTATCTATATAGACTACACCTTTTCTTTGCTGTGCTGTAGTGCTTCAGCTTAATATAATTCACTGTTCCAGTTTTGCTTCTCTTATTTGCGCTTTAAAAAAATTACAACATTGCTAAAGCCAGGTTGGAGAATTTACTCCACCACCACCCTTGGGGCTTTTGATAGTTTGTGTAAGGGCATCTAGTTCTCCCTGGAGGCACTCACTTCCCCATGTTGTCTTGATGCTTTTGCACATTATTGACTGTATGTGTTCATAGGTTTGCTCTAACTTCCCCTTGTTTTGTTGGCCTCTTTGTTTGTTTATTTGGGACAGGGTTTCTCTGTGGCTTTGGAGGCTGTCCTGGAGCTAGTTCCTATAGACCAGGTTGGTATGAAACTCTCAGAGATCCGCCTGCCTCTGCCTCCCGAGTGCTGGGATTAAAGAGCTAGTTCCAGGACAGGCTCCAAAGCTACACCGAGAAAAACCCTGTCTTGAAAAAACACTTTGTTGCTCATCTTCAAGATTCTGTGGATCTTACGGTTCTAGAGGTTCTGTGAAGAATGCCACTGAAATTGTGATGGGGATTGCACAGTGTCTGTAAATTTCATTGGGTGGTGGGTCCCATTTGTTTGGTCCATAGTATTTTACAGTTTGAGTATACAGATGCTTTATCCTCATAATTAAATTTAGCCATGAATAATATTTTTGGTAAATGGAATCGCTTTCTCAGTTTCTTTGTCTTTTTGTACAGTGTTGGAGATTGAACCTAGGGCCTCACATAGACAACATTCTACCCCTTAGCTACTCCAGCCCTCAGTTTTCTTTCTTTCCTTTTCTCTCTTCCTTTTAATCTCCTTCCCTCTTGTTTTTATGTGCCTTTTTATTTTTAGTTTTTAAAGACAGGATATGGTTCTGGAACTACTGGATGGCTTTGAACGTCTAGAGAGCTTGTATTACAGGTGTGTACCACCACACCTGACATTGCTTTTTTATTTTAAATAATCCATTATTAATGTAACAGATTGTTTTTTGTGTGTTGATCTTGTTTTCTTTGACTTTATTTGTTAGAACTTCTTTCTTTGGGGGTTGAGACAGGGTTTCTGTGTGTAACAGAGCCCTGACTGGCCTCAAACTCAGACCTGCTTGCCTTTGCTTCCTGAGTACTGGGATCAAAGGTGTGCGCCACCACACCTGGCATTAGTTTTAATGTTTATCGTTTGCTGTTGGGATCTAGGCCTTCTCTGTGTGATACATCTTCTATAAACAGCCCTGATGATTCTACTTCCTCTAGTGCTCTGTGGAATAGTGGTGAGAGTAAGCATATTGTTTTCTATCAACCAGATGGTAGAGAGTGAGACCTTGGCTCTTTTGATAGGGTGATACTGGGAAGGAGAGCTGTAGTTTTGACCTGTGGAAGGATGCTGGGCTTAAACACCAGTAAGTTACTGAAGGTGTGAACTGAATGGTCTGAAGTCTCATGGGAGAGGTCTGAGGTCAAGAAATGTAAGTTACAAGGAGGTAACTTGTAGGCATATTGGAGAAGAGACATATAATCACAGTTTGAAAAAAGTAGATCTGTTGCATAGGAAGAATCATTTTATAAAAGCACTGTAGTTACTGCTTACCTGTAGGCAGTTGCTGTGTTGATGTGACATGGCTTTTATTCTTATTAGAGTGATGAGTTGTCTTTTTTTTTTCTGCATTTATTGATTGGTACTCTGCATGTCACCTTGTATTTATGAAAACTAAATAGCTTAAAATATTAATTTTAAACCAGGTTTCAGTTCATCTAACTTCTGTAATCATAGAAGAAATTACTATTTTAAACTGATAATATGAAGATTTCTACTAACAACAGTCTCTTTATTTTTACAGAAGTTGCAGAACTTGAAGCTAATTTACCCTGTAAGTATAGCACGCTGGTCAAATTAGTACTATATAGTGATGACATGAAGAAAACTTGTTTTAATAACTGTGAATAGCAAAAAACCTGTTTTGTGTATATTGGAAATGAATGTTAATTTTGTACAAGAAGAATTTTTTGCAATATCTAATAAAATGAGGTTCTAACTGGGTGTAGTGGCACATGCCTTGGGAGACAGAGGCAGGTGGATCTCTGAGTTCGAGGCCAGACAGGTTAAGACAGTGAGTTTCAGAATAGCTGTGGCTGTGTAGACGGATCTTGTCTCAAAAACAACGAAGAGGTTCTTTAGTCCTTCTGAATAGCACATGTAGAATACTGTCTCAGTGTCATGGAAGCATGTTAGGTCAGTTGCCTTCTGTTCCTCCTCCTCCCTGAGAGGAAAGAGTGTGAGCGCACAGCCCTGCTCTATGGGGCATGCTCCCATTTGGTTCAGAAGGTGTTTACTGGTCATTTGTTTTTGCTTTGAGGAAAGGCAGCTGCACAGCTCTTCACCCACAGACTTCTCCCTTGATCGGTCGGTCTTTCCTGCCAGCTCATGGGTCTGCCTATGTAGTCATTCAGACATGTACTTGAATAACATATAAGAGATTCTATTTTTCTGTCACTAATCTTCCCTCAAATCTTTTACATGTCTTTGAAAGTCTGAAAGCTTTGACTGTTTTACTATTTGTTAAAACTTTTTGTTGTGTTATTTGGTTTAAAAGTAGTTCTGAGTCTAAGGATGCCTGCTAATATAGGTAATGCATGCTGTGTGGTGGTTTTCTGATTGTGTAAGTATTGCAGAGGACTTGGGTTTTTTTTTTTTTTTTTGGTTGGTTTTTTTCAAGACAGGGTTTCTCTGTGGCTTTGGAGGCTGTCCTGGAACTAGCTCTTGTAGACCAGGCTGGCCTCGAACTCACAGAGATCCACCTGCCTCTGCCTCCCAAGTGCTGGGATTAAAGGCGTGCACCACCAACGCCCGGCTAGTAGGACTTGGGTTTTGATGTGGAGTTCCATCTAATATTTCTTAGAGAGGCTTCATTCCCACCAGCACCTAAAGTTGGTGGCCTGCAACCCTTGGGTGGTTGTAAAATTAGTTTGTGAGGGCAGAGACAAGTTGTTAAAGGGTTTTTGTTTTGTTTTTAAGACAGGCCTCTCTGTAGAGCCCTGGATAGTCTGGAACTTACTACATAGATCAGGCTGGCCTTAAATCAGAGTTCCGCTTGTCTCTGCCTCCTGGGATCAAAGGTATTCATAACTTGGCCAGGCTGAACAATCACTTTTGATGTCTAACATTTGTGTGAGGGAAGAATAGATTATGATAGAAAATATATTTATTCCATGGACCTCAGCCAAACATCTTGAAATTTTGTGGATTGACCTCAAAGTTACTTCCATTCAGAACTGAAGGTATTGTCTGAGAATTTTATTGAAATGTTAATTTTGAAGCTGGGGGATAACTCAGTGCCCTGGTTTCAATTACAGATGTGGGAGTGGGAGGAGTAATTCTACCTACTAAGGGAAAAGCAAAAGGGTGTGCTTTTACACGCCTTTAATCCCAGCACTCGGGAGGCAGAGGCAGAGGCAGGCGGATCTCTTGAGTTTCAGGTCAGTCTACACAGAGAAAACAATTCTGTCTCTAAAAACAAAACAAAGAATGCTTAGGAAAGTAAATGCACATGGGTGTGATAGACAAGCAGGATGGCAGCAGCCTGGAGCCAGGTGATAAGCTTGTTTGTCTGTCTCCCTGCCTGTGTGTTGGCACATTTCTATACTTCTATAGCAAAAGCACCACATCGTGTTTTTCTTTTTCTTTTTCTTTTTCTTTTTTTTGTAGTTCAGTCTTTCCACTGTCTGTGGCTCACACATATATGTTCAAAGTGTCTTTTCATTAGAGAACACAGAAAGTGTCCACTTAGAGCTAGCTTGTGTGTTTGTGAATCTTGGAGAATCTGGAAAAGATGTCTGTTTCCCATGCTGTGGCTAAGATAGCAGATTGTATGCATTATTTGACACTCTGCTTTTTACTCTTTCTTTCTTCATGTTTTCACAAATCTGCCACTCATCATCCTGAAGAAGAAACTAACCACCACAGACTAATTCTTCCATGTCTGTTTTAAAACTTTTCTAAAATATTTAAAAAGCCATAAGGATAGCTTTCTATGTGGCAGTGTGATTAGTAACTGCAGAATGACCTCAGAGCTCTGTATGTACAAGTGCATAGAGACTTTTCTTGAAATGCTCATCTCTTTAGATAGGTCCTGTTGTATATAAAGAAGACTAATTCTAGCGTTTTAAGATTCTCTCTCTCTCTCTCTCTCTCTCTCTCTCTCTCTCTGTGTGTGTGTGTGTGAGTGTGTGTGTGTGTGTGTGTACATTTCTTTTCTTGAGCTTTGAACTTTGTTTGATTTTGGTGGTATCATTGACTTTTAAAACTTTGTTTTACTCATTTATGTATTCTTGGAAGGCTAATCCATTTCAGAGATTCCACATTTAAACCCTCATTAAAAGAAAAAGGGTGTCAGGTACTATAAACATGGATAACACCAATCTCAAATAATGATTTGAGATTTTCTTACCTGTATTTCAAAGGATGCTATTTCTATTTTCAAAATAAGGTCAAGATAAAACAGTTCAAGATGGTATAGACAGGATTCTCTAGCAAGGAGCCCAGGAACATAGGAAATAATCCTAAGAGTTAACATGGGAGTATGTAAAATTAGGAAGGAGGCAGTCACCATTGAGAAGAGACAGTCTACAGAATACATAGAAAATTCTTTGCCATGGGCCCATAAGATGACTCAGAAGGCAAAGGCACTTGCCATGCAAGCCTGGAGACCTGAATTAAATTCCTGGAACTCGTGTAACGGGAGAGGGAGAGAACCACCTCTATAAAGTAAGTTGTCTGCCAACTTCCACATTTGTGCCATGGTATGTGCACCCACATACATCATGTGTATGTACACACAGACACACACACTAGTAATTTTGATGGTTTAAAAATCTTTGCCACAAATGCATCAGATAGGGCATTAATATCCAGTCTACATAAAGAACTGTAAAAGCTAAGCAACAAAAACCAGTCAATAAATGGGCTAGTGAATTTTAGACAATTCTCAAAAGAAGAAATACAAATAAATTCTTGAGAAAGTGTTTAGCATCCTTGGCCATCAGAGAAATCTAAATTCAAACAATTTGGAGATATAACCCAGTTACAATGGGTGTCATCAAGAAAACAAATGACAAGACATGCTATGGAGGATGTGGGAAAAGATGGCCCTTATGAATAACCTTGTGTGATCACTGTAGAAATCAATATGGAAGTTCTTCCAAAAACAAAGAAAGAAAATAGAACTTAGATATAACCCAGTTATACCACTCTTAGGTGTATACTCAAAGGATTCTGTAAGTCAACATACCAAAAAGTTGCTTGTACAAATGCATTTAGAGCTACATTATTCACAAGAGCCAGAAAGTAGAACCGTTAGAATTTGAGTAAAGAAAATGTACATACACATAATAGAATTTTTTGTATCTGTAAAGAGAAATGAAGTCATGGCATTTGCAGGAAAATGAATGCAGCTGGGGATCTTTATGGTAAGAGAAGTAAGGGAGGCTCATAAGCACCATGTTTTCTCATATGCAAAAACTAGATGTAAAATTAGACATGTGTGTATCTGTAAGGGGGAGCTCTCAAAACTAGGAAGGGGCTAACCGATGAAAAAAATAAGGTAATATATTCCATGGAAAAGGAAAAGGAAGCTGGAAGTAACAAGAAGAAAGGAAAGCAGTTTGACAGGGATGGAGGGAAGGTTGGTGGGAAGGAGAATAAGTGAGGGGAATGAGAAAGGGTGCATGAAGATGACGTGATGAAACCCAATGCTTAATGAAACTTGCTTTCAGTGCACATAGTTCTAAATGTGGTTTGGGAGAAAGTCTTGACCTATTGCTTCAAGTCTCTTTATTTTTTTAAACGTGTATTTTATTTTTTAAAGATTTATTTTATGTGCATTGGTGTCTGACCTGTCTGTGTGTCTGTGTGAGAGTATCTGACCCCCTGGGACTGTGAGTTACAAACAGTTGTCAACTGCCATGTGGGTGCTGGGAATTGAACCTGGATTCCCTGGAAGAGCAGCCAGAGCTATTAACTGCTGAGCCATCTCTCCAGCCTGAGTCTCTTTATTTCTAAAGTAAAGATTATGGTACTGTATTTCAAAAACTGCTTCTTATCCCGTAGACTCGGGGTTTTCTCCTCCTACTGTAAAAGAGGAAGTCCATCTCAGTCTTAAATTGTTCTGTGTTTTATCTCATTGTTTTATGTATGACATGCTTATTAAATACCCAAATGTGATCTCAGACTAGTCACTGGACCCCTCTGAGCCTTCTTCACTTCCATCCAAGTCAGTAACATTGAACTAAATGGTCTTTAAGGTTATTTCTCACTATATTTGAATCCTATTTTTGTTGAAAATTTTATCAATGTAGAACTGAACAAGTGGGGCTTTTGTAAGCAATAATCTTAGTAGATACACTCAGAAATTTATACTTGTATCTTCTGAGTTCTATGAACATAGGAAAATTTCCTCAATATTCTTTACAGATCCATAAGACCTTTCTTAAGTGATAGCTGTCCTGCGTCCTTTGTGAAGGAAGCAGACAGTGCAATAGACAGCTTCCCTTGACTATATCCTTGACTTTGCTGGCTCTTCGTGATGGTGAGCTTGTCCTGACTCAGACCCTTCTTGGTTGATGACCACAAAAGCCCAGAACATTGCTACTGACTGAGCAAAGCATCCTGTCACAGAGTAAGCTGACTTAACCAGTTAAGTGTGAAGTTTTGGCTTTTTTGCTTTCCTGAGACAGTGTCTCACTATGTAGGCTAGGTTGACCTTGAATTCACAGAGGTCTGCTTGCCTTTTGCCTCCCAGGTACTAGGATTAAAGATGAATGTTCTCTGCACTCTAGAGGCAGAGACAGAGGCAGGTGGATCTCTGAGGGGTTTTTTGTTTTGTTTTGTTTTTTGTTTTTTTTTTTTTTTCCTCCAATGTTACACTAAATGCTGGGTGGCAGCTAATTCTAAGGCATTTCCTTTCTGACTTCTGATCACGGACATGCATGTCTATTAATCTCCTTGGTACAGAGTAAGTTGGACAGAAGTTTGACCTGGTTCTTTTCCCAGTTTTTCCTTATTTAGTTAGCCTTTACCCACATACATTAATGTCTTTGAGAGATAGTGTTTTTTTGTTTTTAGAGTAAATAGCACAATTCTCTAATAAAAAGATTCTTTAGTGACCATTTAAAAGTTGCAGTAAATACCTTGATTTGGAATTAACTAGTAAAACTAGAATGGCAAAAACAACAACAAAACTGTTGGAGTATAGCAACCCACTAGTTGCTTTATGAATCAGTAACTGACTTCTGTGTGTTCAAAGATTAGCTCAGAGTGTGGACAGCTGCTCACACAGACCATCCTAATATGGCTATTTCTTTTGCAGGTACATGTAAAGTACATTTTCCTGATCCAAACAAACTTCATTGCTTTCAGCTGACTGTAAGCCCAGGTAATAAATACTTCTGCATACTTCAGTGTTCGTGTAATTTTCAAGCAGCAAGTGTAAAGGTCCGCCCATATCTGTCTTTCTCTGGATAGTATCTAAAAGTTAAGGATAGTATCTAAAGACTTAGTAAGATCGCCCATGCCCTAAAATGTTAAGGCCTATGCCTTGTAGCCAGATAGCAAATGAGTGTTGATGACTCTGTAAAAGCCAGACAGCTAATGCTGACTGCAGCCTACTGTTGAGTGTGGGTTTTGATAATACTCCAGAGGAACCTGACCTGGGTGAAGTTGCTTAGCTGCTCAGCTGCAGCCTCCATAGAATGGGGGTCAAACAGGATAACATCAGAATTAAATGGTTACACACCACTTGGGCCCAGATTCTAGCAGACAGAGTTCTAACTGCCCTCCTTAGGACTGATTATATGCCTGTCTCCAGGGCAGCAGCATATCTCCTTGGTCAGACTTTCTTAGTGAAGATGCTGGAACAGGAGTTGCTGATCACCAACCCATGTTGGCCTCCAGGAGCCAATCATTGGTAGCCAGTTCATGCTACTGTTAGGTGGGGTAGGAAGAGTAAGGGAATCTGAGTCTCAGGGTTTCCCCAACCAGCCCATAGTTGTTTGAAGGAGGCACTGGGGTGGAAGCGGAGTCAGCTGTGTTCCCTCTGCACTTGCTGTATGACGTGAAAGTGTTGGGAGTGTCCAGAAGAGGGCATTGTTCACTTCCAAGGATTATGATGCAGACGAAAGGGAAAGGGATGATTTGTCTTCAGGTCATACTGACAAAATAATGTGACACTTGTTAAGGCTGGAGTGGTCTGACCTTTGGGGTTTTGAGTAGGTGTTCAGAACTGTTCTGGGGCAATTAGTCCATAGATGTTTCTGGCATCATTTGGCAACTATAAAGTTCATATTATTACTTGAGCTGAGATGCACAGAAGAAGAAGAAAACAAAGAATGAAAAGTTTTGCTGTAGAAAGAGAAGGTGTTGTCTTATTTGGGAGAGGTGGGGAAGGAGTGAAGAACTGAGAATGAGTCATGAACTAATTAAAATTGAGAGGTACAGGTATGTGATAATGAGTCCATGCGTGAGCCATGGCCTTGTCTCTGCAATGAGAATGTTTATAATAGGAAGTATCCTGTTTAGAATGTTTTGATATCTGTAATTCCATTTACATTTAGCTGCAGTGGTGCATGTTTATAATCCTAGCACTTTAAGAGGCTGAGACAGGAAGCTCATGAGTTCAAGGCCAGTTTGGGCTACCAAGCAAAACCCTATCTTAAACCTATGTAACGGTTTTACAGAGTGCTCTGGGACATTGTAACTGGTGTAATACCAGTTGCTTACCCCATATTTAGATGTGGTGTGCTTTGCATGCGTGCTATCTTTGAGTGGGTGAGATGAAGTCCCTGTCCGTTCTGAACCATGTGTGTTATGTGTTAAGGAGCATTGACTACACGGATGCCTTCCCTTATCCCAGAGTCGCCATGAAGAATGTTATTTCCTAAGTACTCTGGCTTGTGTGTTGTAGTTGGCTGGGTTCTGTCAGTCCAGTGGCTACTCTAGTACACCTCTTCAGTCCTTTGCTGCTTACAGACCCCTGTTTTTTCCAGACTGTTTAGTGTCATATGATTGTGTTTTTGTGATTTCGTCTGTTTTTTCTCTCCTCTCCTTGTTTTGCCTGTTTATTTATTCTTACTAAATCCTATGAATGTGATTACTGAGATAAAATGACCACACCTTTATCCTGGTTGTCTCTGACAGGAAACAACTGTTATAGGTTCAGTATTCACCATTTAGTGCCTGGGAATGCATTTAACTGTATGTTTACCATGCTCTCTGCTCACTGAATGTAGACTCTTGATTATGAAAATCAGAATCAAGAGTAGAAAACTTCACTCTTGATTGAATATATGGCTATGGCAAAGATCTGCCTGTTCTAAAAATGTGCCTAGAATTGTGATTTCGGGGGGGGGGGGATATTATAGTCATGCTCCTTAATGCTGAAAAGAAGTATAGATGCTGAACAGGGAAGTTGTAGCTCCATGTCTAGGTATGAAGGTGTGGCTCTGAAGCTGGCTCGTTTGTAGTCTTATAATAAGACCTAAAAACTGAGTCATGCATGTAACATAGGCCATAGATGGTTATGATGGAGGACTATCCTATTTCCAGCATCTGTCCTCACTTTCCATAATTTTGCAGTGGTCCTTCAAGCTTAGAAATATGTGTTTCAGAGAATAAAAAGAAAAGCAATTTACTGATGAGACAGAATAGCACTAGTAAGTGAACTCAAGTAAAAATGAAGCAAAACAAAACAGAAATTAACCCTGCTCCCAACAGTTGGGCCAGGGAATTTGCTTTAGCCCTCCTGACATGGTATTGGAGGCTTTAGACTATCAAGGGCATAAACTTGATAGTGATTTGTTTCTCTTATTTCCGCACTTGTTTAAGACAGAGTTTGCATGTAGCCCAGGCTGGCCAGGGACTTACTATATAGTTTGGGCAGGCCTCAAGTTCAAGAGCCTGCTGCCCTAGCCTCCTGAGTTGAGTGTTAGGTTGTAGGCATGAGCCACCATTCTTGTCTTAGCATTTACAGTTTGTTTGTTTGAGACAGTGTCTCACTATGTAGCTCTGGCTGTCCTCTGCCTCCCAAGTGCGCAGATTAAATGTGTGCACCATAATGAGCTGCTTAACTTTTACTTTTTGTTTTGTTTTTCGAGACAAGGTTTCTCTGTGGCGTTGGAGGCTGTCCTGGAACTAGCTCTTGTAGACCAGGCTGGTCTCGAACTCACAAAGATCCACCTGCCTCTGCCTCCCAAGTGCTGGGATTAAAGGTGTGCGCCACCAACGCCCGGCAACATTTACTTTTTTAAATCAGTTTTACTGAGGAATAAAATTACAAACAGTAAAATGTACTGACCTGAGTTTCAGAGTCTTTATGTTGTGTCATCCTCACAACCCTAACAAAGATGAGAAGTGCTGCTATGTCCTGAAGGCCACTCTGCCTCTCCCATCCCACCACTGGTCCTTTCTGATTTTCTTACCATAGTTGAATTTTATTTGTGTGAAAGCTTTTTTCATACATTTTCCCCTTCATTTCTTTTTATTTTATTATTTTTGTTTGTTTGAGACAAGATTCCTCTGTGTAACAGCCCTAGCTGTCCTTGAATTCATTCTGTAGACCAGGCTGGCATTGAACTCTCAGAGATCCGCCTGCCTCTGCCTCTGGAAAGGCGTGCGCCACCACCATCCAGTCATTCCCTTCCTTTCTGTCTGAGTGGAATTTCTAAGTCATATGAGAGATGTGCCTTCCACTTGAATTGTAAGATTTTATTGAAGCAGAAGTTGTTTGGAATGAATGGTTGTTTGTCCTGCTAATTAATGTCTAGGGTATGTGGTGATCATACAGAAACTTGTGTGTGATTCACCATGACGTGTCACAGTTTCAGACATCATTCGTACTTTCATCCCTGGTTCTTTATAGTGATTTCTAATTTCACTGTGAGGTTAACCACTGAGGAAAGGGTAAATTTTAAGAATAGTTTTTTTTCCACCTTGGTGACTCTTTCAAATAACCCTAAAACCAGATGGCACTTGCCTTTTATGTGTACTAGAAATGTGGTGTAAGCTGTCTGCCATCAGTGTCTTCTCACGTTGAGCAAACAGTCGTGCTCTTTCCTTTGGCCCTTCGAAGAACTCTACTGGTGTGATGGTACTCCGTGGACCACAGTGTCACCTGATGGACAGGCATGTCATCTCTTTCATGCTGATTTCTCCTCTTCCCTAACTCACAGCTCCCAGCCTCATTCTCTCTGAGAATTCTCAGGCCATTTAGTACCGTTGTTATAAATAGCTTCTGAGCTGAATTGTGGCTCAGTAATAAGAGTGCTTGCCTAGCATTCATGAGGACATTTTGGTGGTTACCAGAAAAATGTAAATGTAAAAAATTTAAGTATAGGCTGGGCAGTGGTGGCACACGCCTTTAATCCCAGCACTCAGGTAGGCAGATCTCTGTGAGTTCAAGGCCAGCCTGCTCTACAAAGCTATACAGAGAAACCCTGTCTCAACAAACAAACATATAAATATATACACACACATACATAAAAATATACAATGAGGGCCAGTGAAATAGCTCATTGGGTAAAGGCACTTACTGACAACATAAATTCAATCCCTGGAGTTCATATTGTGGGAGGAAACTCCTATAAATTGGCCTGACTATGTGCGTATGGCCATACTAATACTAAACAAATAACACACTAAAATAAGTAAATAACTTCAATGAAATTTAATGTATTCAATTCTCAGCAACCACATGGTGGCTCACAACTGTCTACAATGAGATCTGGCGTGTGCAAGCATGCAGGCAGAACACCGTTGTATATTTATTTATGTATATGAACGCTCTATCTGCATATACAACTTTATGTGAGAAATGGGCACCAGATCTTATTATAAATGTTGTGAGCTACCATGTGGTTGCTGGGAATTGAACTCAGAACCTCCATAAGAACAACCAGTGCTCTTAACCACTGAGCCATTTCTCCAGCCCCCTAAATAAATAAATCTTTTTAAAAAATGTCTTAAGCATGCCTGCTGCCATGCTCCCTGCTATGGCAGTGATGGGCCATTAGCCCTCTGAAACCATAAGGTCAAATATACTCCTGTAAGTTACCTTGTCTTAGTATTTTATTACAGCAATAGAAAAGTAATACGAAAGGTAAGTTCAAAGTTAAAACAAAAATCTTACAAGTATTTTCACAATCTTGGAATTGATTTCTAGATCTACTACATTGTTGGGCAGTGGTGAAAGTAGATTAGAAGAGGCTTAGCCAGACATGCACTGGAATACTTGGTAAAGTTTGAGCCCTAATGAAACCCACTTTTCTGACTCCTGTTATAGCTGCCATTCTTCCTGCAAAGCGTGTTGTTGTACATTAAGTACTCAGAGATGAGAATATTGAAGATGAATCATTTTAGCATGCCTTGCTTACACCATAATGA